TCTTCAGTAATCATACCACTGTAAATATACATTTTTGACCAAATACCCAAATTGAAGTCAGCTAATAATTACTACAAATATGGACACTACACTCACTAATGTTGTGCAGCTCCACATTCAACTAGACCACTTCATCGGATGTTCAACTGTGTTATGCAAATATATTTCTTATTTTTCAAAACAGTCTTTATTATGTTTAACACAATGTGGATTATGGGAAACCGGTTTTCAACTCGTAGAAATCATTATTCAAACCAACATAACAATAATTAATGTTCCATTGCTTGCTCCAAAAGTAAAATTTCAGTAACATATTACTGAAAAAAATAAAAACCACTAGTGCAATGCTGCATATTATTAAAGTGATAAAGTGCAACTTTATGCTGTGTGAATCCGTTTATGTTTTGCAAGATGTGTGCTTCGGCTAAAACATTTCCCACATTCATTGCATTTATACGGTTTTTCTCCTCTGTGAAGCATTTTATGTGAAGAAAGATTTGAGCTGTGAGTAAAACATTTTCCACATTCAGTGCATTTAAATGGTTTTACACCTGTGTGAATCCTCTGATGCATCGTTAGAACATACTTAAGCCTAAAACATTTCCCACATTCTGCACACTCAAATGGTTTTTCACCGGTGTGAATACTCTGATGTGCAATTAGATTATGCTTGAGTATAAAACATTTCCCACATTCATCACATTTAAAAGTTTTTTCCCCGGTGTGAATCTTCTGATGTGTAATGAGATTATGCACTATGCTGAAACATTTCCCACATTCATCGCATTTAAATGGTTTCCCTCCCGTGTGAATCATTTTATGTGATGCAAGATGTGCAGCGCGCGTAAAACATTTCCCGCATTCAGAGCATTTAAATGGTTTCCCTCCAGTGTGGACCATTTTATGTGATGCAAGATGTGCAGCGCGAGTAAAACATTTCCCGCATTCAGAGCATTTAAATGGTTTTTCTCCTGTGTGAATAATTTTATGCGAAGCAAGATGTCCGGCCTGACTAAAACACTTTCCACATTCATTGCATTTAAATGGTTTCTCTCCAGTGTGCGTCATGTTATGTGAAGCAAGATGTGCAGCCCGGGTAAAACACTTGCCACATTCATTGCATTTAAATGTCCCTTCTCCTGTGTGAATCACTTTATGTGAAGATAGATATAAAGCCCGTGTAAAACATTTCCCACAATCTGTGCATTTAAACCGTTTTTCCCTTGTGTGAATCCTTTGATGTTTAATAAGATCATGTTTTAGCCTAAAACATTTCCCACATTCAGAACATGAAAACTGTTTATCTTGTCTGTGATGCATCTCATGTAAAACAGAGTCTGACTCTGTAGAGCAGTTGAACATGTCCACTGGGTCCTTGGGAGATTTTACAGATTTAGGATTAATATATTGCTCAGGCTTCCTCTTTTCAATTACGAATTTGTTCAAAGTTGGCTGTGTATTATCTGTGCATGTATAAGCGTCAGTGCCTGTAAGGTCTCCTTTATACGAGGTGGATTTCTGCTTAACATGAGTAGACAAATATTCTGCTTGTTTATATTCTGTGGGTGTTTCAATGTCTTCCTTATCTAACGGAGATTCTTGAGATAAATGTACTATAGACTTAGTCTGCCTTCTCTTTGATCTTCTGATTTTCTGATAATTTTCTGCATTATTGGACTTAAGACTTGATTCATCTTTGGTTCCAAAGTCAGGTAAATAAAAAGCGGTGTGGAATTCATCAGATGTAGACTTATCATCTTCTGGAAGAAACATTAATAGTTGGAAAGTTATTTAAAGAACTAGCAAATTATATATCACATTTTCTGTACATTTCTTCAGAAACATTTACTTGGTCATTATGTGAAAAAGAGAATTATGATGATAAATCATATCTTACCAGAGGGTCTGTACGGCTCTTGATTCCCAATAATCACATCCTTGTAGAGATCCTTGTGTCCTTCTAAATACTCCCACTCATCCATGGAGAAATAGACAGCGACATCCTCACACCTTATAGGAACCTGTCACACACAATGATACAGTCACCATCCAGACACAT